ACGAGATGGACATTCCACTAGACACAACCGTGATTGACTCCATCAACATCATGCTTCCCACCATAGGGGTGTATAATTAACATGAGGACAATGCATAGAACAGAAAGATCACAAGCGTAAAACACGGAGACGATCTCATCTCCTCCAAAATTTAAAATTTGAATCATGGGACGTGATGGCCGATTGCATGCATGGAATCAATTGTCAAGATGCACAGAAAAATTTGACGCCGAGGTTGCATTGAAATTTATGGTTAGATGAATAAAAGTTAATTTTGTGTATGCATAGAACAATGTATAGAAATGTTTCAAAATTAGTGGTTGAATAAATAATAATTAATTTTGTTACCGCGTAAAAACCTCTCCACGAGATGGACATTCCACCTAAAACAACCCTGATTGTCTCCACCAACATCATGCTTTCCAATATGTGGCTGTATAATTAACATGGGAACAATATATAGAACATGCAGACCACACACGTTAAACATGCAGACAATCTCATCTTCTCCAAAATTAAAAAATAACATGTGATGGACGATCGGATTCATAGAATCAATGGTTAAAATGTGCAGAAACATTTTTTGGCATCGACTTTGCATTGAAATTAGTAGTTCGATGAATAAAAAATAATTTGTTACCGCATAAAAAATGCATAGAAACTGCTCCAACAATGATTAGAATTGTGTACTAACAATGTATAAAATTGTGTGAAAGCGTACACATAATTGTTCCAACAATATATGTCGAAGAGTTCTAACAATGCATAGAAGAGTGCTCTAACCACGTGTATAATTGTGTGGCAGTGCACGGATAACTACTCCAACAATGTATACAAATTTGTTGTAACAATGTATATAATGCATATCACATTACAGTTTAGCCATTGAAAGGTCCTTGTGTGTTTTTGGTAATTGAGTGACAACCCTAGGTGGACTAATTGTGTTTATGTGAGATACACAGGTGATTAGTCCATAAGTACATGTGTGTGAGCAACATATTCCGTGAAGGTGAAAATGGTTTGGAGATGTTGTAAAGCTCACACATGTGATGATGAAGGAGCTTATTGCACATGAGACATGACATTGAGTCATGTAATCAAGGTGGAGAAGATCAAGACAAGACTTGGCTTGATGGACCGGTTGCAAGCGTGAAGGGCAAGTCGGAGGCTTTGGAGCGATGGACCACGTGGCGGTGAAGCTTGAGCAAGACTTAGCACCGATGGACGAAGGCAACGGTGAAAAGCAAGTGAAGTCAAGATCGATGAACCAATATGATCACGTGATGATATGAAGTGGATCATATCATTGTTGATCATGTTGGTGCATGTGTTGCATCGACATTGGAGGAGATGGAATGAAATACGCAAGACAAAGGTATAACCTAGGGCATTTCATTTTACCGGTCATTGGTGTGTAGAGAAGTTGATGACCAGGTTTAGGATAGATGGTCGTACTATCAAGAGGGGCAAACTTGTTTGCATATCGGTCATCTAGTGCCACTCGAGTGATCTAACTTTGCATCATCGCTAGGATCGAGTGGCGTGGCAAGTTGAGTGACTAATCCTTTGAAAAATGTTTGTGAAAAGCTAACATACATACACATGGTAGTGCACACTTGGTGGTGTTGGCACATTTGCAAAGGAGAAGAAGTTAGAGTTGTTGTGAATCAACTTAGAGAAGAGAAAAAGGTTTTTCGCTGTACTCTAAACTATAGGATGGTCCTTGGATTAGAATACTACTTTGATCCATTATGATTTGGATCAAGTATGCATGTGGGATGTGTAGCCCTCTGAGTAAGCTTTCCAAAATATCCAAGATCATCGAAATCGGAGTTCAGAGCTAAGAGTTATAGCCGTTTTAGCGCTGAAAGGTTAGTGACCGGACGCTGGCGCAAAAAACGATCGGACGCTCAGGGTCTGCGTCCGGTTAGCACCTGCGAGTTTGGTCACAGCGTCCAGTCAATGTTTTTAGCATGTCTAGAAGCGACCGGACGCTGGGAGAGTCCGGTCAGTGATGAGCGGACGCGTCCAGTCGCTGAAAAACATCGCTGGAACCTCTCTGTAAGAGATCGAACGCTGAGTTCTAGCGTTCGATCATTATGACCTGCACGTCCGATCAGTGCGCGTTTTGCCCAGTGAAGGGGTAATGGCTAGTTTAGCCCTTGGGGCTATAAAAGGAGTGTGTGGCCAGCCTTGGGCTGGTTGCTTAGCACCCTCATGCCTATGTGGCTTGTGTAGGAGTGCTTGGATGCCCTCTAACTCACTTGTGCTTGTAAGAGTGCGAATCGATTGCGAGTGAGTGTGATTCTAGTGCGTTGCATTGTGAGATTGCATCGAGTGGCACTAGGTGATCGAGTTGCAAGCCGGTGGTGCTTATTACTCTTGGAGGTTGCCACCTCCAAGATAGCTTGGTGATGGTCTCCGTCGAAGCCCGCAAGAAGTTTGTGCGATACTCCGAAGAAGAGCTTTATGAGGGGCATTGTGCTCGCCCCGTAGGAGCCACGAAGAGCAACTCTAGTTGAGCGTGTCATTGAGCTACCCTCACTTTCGAGGTAGGTTCTTGCGGTGCTCGACGTGCGGGCTTGGCGGGTGATGCCAATTAGCCGCCGAACCACCAAATGAGCGATCGACACAACGAGGACGTAGCGTGTTGGCAAGCACGTGAACCTCGGGAAAAAATCACCGTGTCAACCTTGTTCTTCCCATTGGTTTACAATCCCCTTACACAAGCTTGTGATTACTTTTATATACATTGTGTTTGTGTAGTTGCTCTTGTAATTAGTTAGCTTGTGTAGCTCACTAGTTACCTTCTTGCTTGTGTAGCATAGAAGTAGCTCTCTTGCGTGGTTAATTTGGTTTGTGTAACCTTGTTAGTCACTTTGCTTAGTTTGTGTAGCTAAGTATTTGCGCTCTCTAATTTGGTATTGGTTGCCTTATTATTGAGCATTGCTAGTGAGCTTAGTTGGATTTATGCTTTTACTTACTAGCATGTGTAGGAGCTCCCTCGTTGCTTGAAATACTAGTGGCATAGGTTTGTGTGACCTTGCTCCTAGAATTGGTTAGGTGAGCGCTAGTTAGCTCGGCACCTTTGTTGCTTTATTAGAATCTTTGCAATGTGCTAGAGAACATAGATAGAGGGATGTAGTCTTCGCTAGACTGATAGTTTTAATTCCGCACTTATTTTGGTTAGCCGACGCGATTAAGTTTTAGAAATAACTATTCACCCCCTCTAGTCGCCATCTCGACCCTACAGCCATGTATAGAAACTTATGCGCACAACCATACAAACACAATCAACAAAAAACAATGATGAGGTGTCGCTGCCGTTGCCGAAGATGTTGGGGAAGGGGACATGGGCTAGAGGCACCGCCACGAGCCATGGTGGGAAGGGGGCGCCGGGAGGCCAGAGCTGCCGCCGCGTAGGGGGCGCCCGGATGCTAGAGCTCGCGTGGGGATGTTGTGTGTCCTGTCGCCGATTGTGCGTTGCAGACCCAGTGCAGCCACGAGCTCGCCGCCATCCCCGCCGCTGACCCATGACCCGTGAGCCTGTCGCTGCCTTCGGACCCTGTGGCCTCGCTGCTCGTCGCATGGAGAGGGGAGCCGGGGCGCCACAGCTCGTTGTCAAGGGCTGCCGAGCACGCTTGCTTGGCCAGGCCATCGCCGGGGGCCACAGAGCTCATTGACCGCTGCCGGGCGCGAGCATTGCCATTCGCCGGTGGCCGACGAGTCCACCCTGGCCCTCCCATCGGTGCACACGAAGCCGCACTGTGACTAGCCTGCACTTGAGGCAGCTTATATATGCATAGAAACTTTTGTGTGCATGATGTGAAACAGAAAATTTGTATGTATGCATAGAAATTTTTAGCCTACACTTGGGGAGCGTAACTTGTACAGTCCAGTGTTGAGATTTGGAGATTTTATATGTATGCATAGAACAGGCCTAGCATGCTCCCCCTAAATCACCAAGCGGATGCATACAAACATAGTAAGTACAAATCAAACATTTCACTCAAGTATAACGAACAGCTTCTATATAGAAATATGTAACAATAATGTATAGAAATGTCAACCAGTGATGTATCCAACAATGTTTGGATAACTGTTAATACAATGTATAGAAATATGTTCCAACATTAAATATAAAAGTGCTCCAACAATATAGAAAATTGTGTTCCAAAAGTATATAAAATGTGCTCCATCAGTGTATGGAGAATTCTAGATGATTTCTTGCTTACACCGTTGACTCAAGAAGCATAGAATTAAAAAAAATCAAAGTACATGAAAACAAACGGTGAGAATCATAATTTATCTAGTTTTTTTAGAAACGTGCACTGACCATCATAAATAAATATTTTATTTAGTCATATTACCAAATCATAATTGTTATGCATAGAAACTTATGTATACAAGCACAGAAATAATTTGTCTCTAAATGGACGCATCCATACTTGCTTGTATTGCTAGCTCTTCATTTACCACAACCCCATGTTTCTGCAAGGCTGCGACTAAAGGTGGTGTTTAAATCTAGAGGCTCAAGTTTAGAGATGTCACATTGGATGTTATATTGAGGTTGTCACATGGGAGTGTTCGGATAGTAATAATAAAACAAAAATAACAGAAGTCCTCAGTAATCCGCGAGACGAATTTATTAAACCTAATTAATTCAGCATTAGCACATATTTACTGTAGCACAACATTATCAAATCATGAACTAATTAGGCTTCTAAAATTCATCTCGTAAAGTAATCGCAATCTATGTAATTAGTTATTTTTAGTCTATATTTAATACACAATGCATGTGTCCAAACATACGATGTGATAGGGACTAAACTTTAAGGAAAAAACTAAACAAGACCTAAATCGAATTAAAACATGGCATATCAACTATGGCTTAAGGAGCATAAAAAATCAGAAGAAAAATATCACGAGAAGGCAAGGAGCACCTGCAGCATCACGGCAATGAGCACTGCACCTGCAGCTTCACGGCAATGGAGGAGTTACTAGCACCGGATCTCCATCAAGCACCTCGGTGTCCCCACCGCCGGTAGTGTGGAGGCCACTATGACCGATGGGGTCGGGGTGGAGGCCAGTAGAGGGGCGCTCCGGTGAGGAGAGGGCTGCCGCTGCGGAAGTTGCCTCATGCCGCCATTGGATCTGTGGCTGCCATCGCGGCTAGGAGAGGATGCGCCGTCGCAGGTGGTTTCGGGGCCGCCACAACCGTCGAGAAAGGTGAAGCGGAAGCCTCCGCTGTCGCCTGAGCCGCCCTTGGCCGAAGAATCGCGTGGATGCCCGTTAGATCTGCTCGGAGGACCGACGCCTCTGCTGGTCGGGCCATGGAGGGGCGCCGCCGCGGGCCATGGTTGGGAGGGGCGTCGGGATGCCGGAGCTGCGGCCGCAAGCCGTGGTGGGGAGGGGCGCCGGGATGCCGAAGGTGCGCGCCGCCGATTGATGAGGAGTTGGCCGCCCGCCGCCGGTTCGGTCCGCCCGAGCACCTCCCCACCCTGCAGCGAGCTCGCCATAGAAGCAGCCGCAGCACACGGTGAGGGCGCCCTCGTTGGGGAGCCTCGCCGTGGTTGGGAAGGGCGCCACCGGGGGTGGATGAGGGTGCGCCGAGGAGGGGGAGATCACGGGGTCGGGGTCAGACAGCGGGTGCCAAGGGGTGGCGCCCAGGCGGCCAGGGGTGGATGGGTGGGATTAGGGTTTAGAGAATATATAGGGCCCAAGAAGATGGGTCTGGTGGGTCGATGGGTGGGCTAGGAGGCTGGTGGGCTGGTTTGGTTGGGCCAATGAGCTAGTTTGGTGGAACAAGTTAAGTTTGGTCAGGGATATATATATATAGTAAAACTATCTTGAAAAATACTTCAAAATGTCGTAGCGGGTATTTGTTTGATTTTAAGAGTTCAATTAGTAAGATGTCAAGCTTTTGAGGTTAATAATGGGGTTTTAAAACTCTAAGACAAGTCTACACGGGCAAAAAAAAATCAATAAAAAGAATTCCTTTCCATATTCCATCGGAGAGGAGAAGCAACCAAACTATCTGCTATATACAGCTCTCGTCGGGGTCTCTCGCCCATCCCCCCTCCCTGCGCGCCATGGAGGCCCAGGAGATCGCCGCGGCAGCGCGCCACTTCTCCGCCATGGCTCGAATCGTCGGTCCGGTTAGTCTGCGACTTCGCATCATCACCAGCTCAACTCCTCCGAATTATCTCGCTAACCGCCGTGCTTCTTCCCTTCTCCGGCGTCTCCGCTTCAAGGACCCCAAGGCCGTGAAGATGCGCCGCCACGCCTTCCACCTCCACCAGTACGCCTCCCTCCCCGATTCGATATTTTACTCGACAAATTCGAGCTTTCCTAAAGCTCCGTGCTGACTTGGGCTGCAGTTCGGGGTCCACCACGCTCTCGGCGTCGGTTCTGCTCTTGCCGCGGGGCGCCCTGGCTGAGCCGCCGCCACTTCTCGACCATATCTGCGCGGCCCACGGGCACGCGGCAGGAGACGTCGCGCTCACGGCTGCTTCCCTCGTCGAGCCGTTCCTGGTCGCGGAGCAGCGGAATAACTCCGGCGAGGTAGGTAGGTTACAGTGTCACAGCACCGTCACCCTATAATCACTCTTTCTAGTGCTAAGCTTTTGTTTGCTTCCTTGTTTGGAATTGGATGCCTCCAGGAGCTTCAGCCGAGGTTGGTTCCGGAGGTGCGTCTTGATGTGCTTGTTGAGGTAAGGATAAGCATCGGTGCGGAATTCGTGCTTAGCATTCAATCACCCATAATCAGTAAAGTGCCTCTTTGCCAAGAAAGTTAAGCAAATTCACATTGATAATTGCTGGAAGTGTGTCAATTACATCTCAGTTCCCAACTATTCGCTCCGTCCCTAAATAACTATCGCCGTTGGTGTGCGTGCCACAAGTTTGACTCGATTTGTAGAAAATACGTGCAACATTTGTATCTACAAATAAATTTATTAAAAAACTAGATTCAAAGATCTTTCCAACGATACTAATTATGTGCCATAAATATTAATATTTTTAATATATATTTAGTCAAAGTTGTTTATTGGGAAACGAAAACGACAGATATTTAGGGACAGAGGGAGTATGTAGCTGGTAATAATCTAATGCATGATGTACAGTGTGGGTACTTGTAGTCTTGTACCGTGGTAAGGAACTTGTAACTTCCAAAATACTAGTACTAGTTTCAAAACCAGGAATTCCTGAACCTGCTTTTCACTGATGGGAAGTCCTGAACCTGCTGGATAAGTCTGATGTGTGGTCTTTGTGGGGCTGTGCATGAGTTGCTATTTTTCTATTTTAGGACAGCATCTTGTACTAGAGGACACTCAAGATGGGAAGTCTGGACCTCCTTAGACGGTGGCTTCCAGCTCGATTGCTTGCCATGAGTTTATGGTCAGTACTGTAATTTTTCATCCTCTCTCGATGAGAGTAAGAATTATACCAAGAGTGAGAATTCAGCGACTTACTAATTTTTCAGATGCATGAAAAAGTAGCAGCCAGGGAGTGAGTTTATATTGTTACTAACAGATGCATGAAAAAATAGCAGCCATTGATATGTACAAGATAAAGGTGGTTGTTTTCTGAGTCCATTTAGATTTGTGAGGATGTTCTATGTTTGGAAACAGTGGTGATGCCCAATTGGACTTAAAAATTTTAAGTTTACACACCATGTGCATTTACTTTCAGTTTAAGGAGCTGTGCAACTGTGCTTTGGAGCAGCCCTTATTGGTTTTGATTAAACTATGATTCCAAATTGTTTTTTTTCAGTGTTCTAAAACTGTGTAAACCTTTAGTAGCTGCTATCAATTCATTTTGGTAAGAAGAGTTGTTTGGCTTGCCATTGACATCTCTTGTCTCATCGTACCAATGACCTATATTAATAATTTAAGACTGGCTTTGGGCTGCTCATTAGGAATAAACTAAGATCAGTAAGGAGGGAGTTTGTTTAGATATCCTCATTACAAGTACCCTTCTTTTTTTGGCCTTAGCTAAGGTGAACCACATTTTTCCTTAGTTATTAGTGATCTGCATCTGTACACTGTACTTAACAGAAGAAAATACATGCTTCTGTCGTATAGTAAGATAACATTTGTAGGTTTTGGTTAGTCTTCACCCTTGATACTTACGCATACATGACCGACCGGAAGGCTCATTTCTTCTGTAGGTTGATGTTCCGACAGCTGCTGATTCTGCTTTGTCCTTACTGAGACATGAAGAGTTCATCAGAAGACCAACATGGGATGTAGGCTGGTCATTGGCCGATGCTAATCAGAAACAGGTCTCTTTGTTTATCGAATCAAAGTATTAAACTGTTGCCCTCGTTTGTCTTGCATTAAAACTTATTGTTAGAATTCCTCAGGTTGAAAATGATACCAGATCTTCGCTTGAGTCTAACAGGAATAATGCATCTATTGAATCAGTAGACCCATTGATGTTGTCCAAGTCTGCCACAAGAATTGGTATTCTAGGAATTTCAACCTTCAACTCAAATGTAAGGCGCAGGTCGACATATTTTTTCTTTCCTAGAAATTTAGCACCTTGAAAGTTGCAAGCTGTAGTTTTTTTTTTTTTTTTGGTTACTTAGTAGTCTTTGGTCGTTGGTGAACAGGATGCAAGACGTATCAATGTTTCAGTGATGCAACAACGAGGGGACCCTTTGCTTATAGTAGGATCTCCATTTGGCCTCATGTCACCCTTCCATTTCTTCAACAGGTAACTTTTATTCTACTGCTTTAGCATAATGCCAGAATGTCTTTAAGTATGCACCAGAATTTAGCACATGCAAACTGTCGAACATTTTGATTTGGTGACAAGAACATAGTCTGGGCATTCATAATGCTGACTTAAGTAATGATAAACTCCAGACATTTTAAAACTTGATACCGTTCCATATGCATTATGGAGAAAATGCTAAACTTTTGCTATCTAGAGTTTTATTAACTCTTTGCTTTGCACGTCATCACTAGATCTTCCAAAGCATATACAGTTGTTGTGTTGTGTTTATTCCCAGTATGTCTAGTGACCTGGAACTGGAAGGCGTTAACTAGATACTGATGTTTCTGAAACTGAAAAGGCCTGGCTTGCTATTGTTGACTATTTTCTTTTGCTACCATTATTAGAAAACAGAATAGGAGTGTCCTATTTATTTGTGTACATATGCGCTTTTTGAGCAGTATATCTGTTGGTGCTGTTGCGAATTGCCTTCCTCCATGCACTGTGAGGAGCTCATTGCTGATGGCTGACATCCACTGTCTCCCTGGTAAACATCTTTCTGTCTTTCTTTCTTTTCTTGTATAGTATGACATTAGTTATTGACAATCTCTTAAATTGACCAAAGGCATGGAAGGCGCTCCAGTGTTTGATCGAAATTCTTGCCTTGTGGGGCTGCTGATGAACCCATTAAGACAGAAAGGCAGCAATATAGAAGTTCAGGTGAGTTCACTGGTTTCAACAAGATACCTTTGCACATCTAATATATGTAACTTAGCTATCTTAAAATCTACTTGCCAGCTTGTGATTACATGGGATGCAATATGCACGGAATGGAACAGCAAAAAACTGGAGGAAATTGGACGTGCCCCAAGAGAACTACCTAATGACAAAAATACGGATAGTAAATCTATGGAATTTCGGCATGGATACAACTATGGGAGGTTTGCCTCTTCAACGGTCAACAAAATTAATCAGCATTGCATATCATCCCCTTCGCTCAGAGAGGCTATATCTGCAGTTGTTCTTGTCACGGTTGGTGATACATCTTGGGCTTCAGGGATTGTTCTGAACAAAAGGGGTTTAGTTCTGACAAATGCTCATCTCTTGGAACCTTGGAGATTTGGGAGGACTTCACCCTCAGATTTACAAGCCTCATTCACTGGAGAACATCTCAATGCTGGAGAAAACAAATCATTGCAGCCACAAGGCAAATTTTCCAATGAGGATGCTGTCAATCATAAGGTTTCATTGTTTAACTTGGGTTTCAAAAGAGAGAAGAGAATATCTGTTCGTTTGGACCATGCAGAGAGACAGATATGGTGCAATGCTAGCGTGGTTTTCATCTCAAAGGGTCCACTTGATGTTGCATTGCTTCAAATAGATAAGGTTCCAATTGAATTAAATACAATCAGACCAGAATTTGTTTGTCCAACAGCAGGGTCATCTGTTTATGTTGTTGGGCATGACCTTTTTGGACCCCGATCAGGTGAAAAATCTTAGAACCACAGCTAAAATTAGTGCTTAGAGCAGTTTGATACTCCCTCCATTCCAAATTATAAGACGTTTTGGGTTTTCTAGATTCATGGCTTTTGCTATGCACTTAGATATACGCTGTCTAAATGCATAGTAAAAATAATGTATCTAGAAAAGCCAAAACATCTTATAATGTGGAACGGAGGGAGTATTTTTTATCAATGTGCATGCCATTGCAAATGTTGAGTTTTGTTATTATGGAACTGATGGTTGAGTATCTGAATGTAGGCCTATGCTCTTCTCTATCCTCGGGGGTTGTGTCAAAGGTTGTCCAAATCCCATCAAATCAACTTTCTCATCTGGCCAGTGCTCTGGAGATTGACAATATGGACATACCAGTAATGCTGCAGACAACAGCGGCAGTTCATCCAGGGGCCAGTGGTGGCATTCTTGTTAATTCACATGGGCTAATGGTTGGGATAATAACAAGGTATCAAATAGAACCTTTTTGAAATCCTACAGACATTAACTAGAACCTTTTGAAGTTCATCAAGTTATTTTGCCATTTCATCGACTGTATCAACTTTCTATCTTAGTGCTCCTGCTACTTGCAAGCAGAACATCGTGTCATTCATTTTCGGATTAGAAGAATGGTGAAGTATGCATTTTCTGAAGAGCTTGTCTTTTTTCTGACTTATTATTATTTTTGTTATCATATCCAGTAATGCTAAGCATGGTGGTGGAAGCACAATACCTCATCTGAATTTCAGCATCCCCTGCAAATTACTGGTTGCGGTCTTCAAGTATTCCGGTGCTAATTAAGTTTGCTCGTATTTTTTTACTCTCAGCTTTAGGCCTTGTTTGGATGCACTCGTAGCCACCTCAATCCATGTGTGTTGGAGTGGAAAATAGTTAAAGTTCCACCATAATCCACTCCGACACATGTGGATTGAGGTGGATACGAGTACATCCAAACAAGCCCTTAGTCAATATTAATGATATCAAAACCCTTTTGAGTACATATAAGAAATAAGGAATGCATTTCATTTCTTGGCAGCAATTGGAAAGCTCGCGATTTTGGAGCAGTTGGACAAACCAAATGAAGTGCTCTCATCAGTTTGGGCTTTGGCACCATCATCATCCCCATTTGTCAGTAGCTCCCCAGAAAAAGGCAAAGATGAAAAGGTCTTGGAGTTCTCTAAGTTTCTTAGTGATAAGCAACAAGCTCTGAAATCTAGTGTAGATCTGAAGGAACTCTTTAGGTACAAGACTCCCAGCAAAATATAGATTGCATCCACTGGAATTCTTACAAGGAAAATATTTCAAAAGTTTGGTCGTGGAGTGCAGAAGTTGCTTTGTTGGGGGGACATTGAACAGGGTTCAGATTACCTGAAGAAATGACAGGCTGTTGGCTAAAGGCTAAAGCTGTACTATTTTTTTTTCCCTGGGCAAAGACCTTGTAAAGGAGCATCCAGACAAGTTCATACATGGTTTTGTTCCCAGAATTTTGTATGAGACGTTTGATCCCAGAATTTGCCAGTACAAAAGGAGTTATCAGAGCACAGTGAGCTTATTTACAGATGGTTAAGGCATGATAATGCCACTGGGAAAGTGGGAATGTAATAAATTTACGTAGGAACAGTTTTTACAATTGAAAATGACAACAACCAATTCTTGTACTAGTTGGGAAGGATAATTGCCCTTTTTTGTAATTATATACCTGAGCGTGGTGTGTTCACCTAGTATAGGCTGCTAAAGCCTTTAACAATGAAAATCAAGCTAGGTTGTGATACCCTACAACACTTTGTGACATTTTCATCCAAGATATCAGAGGCAATATTTATCCTACATGATATCCCAGTTGATAATGTTGAGCATAAAACATGTGATCATTTCGTCACTTCACGGTTGACGCTATTGTGTGATTCAGGCATACGCCGGGCTAGCACCTATGTTCTTGTAGTATGAAGAGTTAGAGGCCTTCTCAAGGCCTGAAAATGCTGTGTAGTCAGTCAAATATGATAAAATAGGCTTCCCAAGCACGAGGGTAATAATCAGAGGTACAATCTCAACAGCTGGGAGTCACAAGATTAAAAAATTGGCATATTTAATCATGCAATCACTATGAAGATTGTATTCGTAAAAACAATATCTAATGCAGTGCAAAGACATACACTTGACACCCTTTGTGGTCCAACACATTTTGTTCTACAATATTCATGCAATCTTGTCACGAAGTGCCAAGAAGTTAAATTTCTTATTTGTAGAGCAAAACCTCTCTTAATCGTCAGAACATGTAAGGTCAAAACCCTTCTTGAACGTTAATTCCTCTGCGCTCTCCTGGTTCCCTGAAGACAGGTCCACCCATCCATTTCGGATACCAATATTCTGTCCAAATACCTTGAGTAAACTTCTTTGATTTTTGGCACCTGGGTTAAATGAGACAAAAAATATCATAAATAATATTACAAAAAACAAAATAAACCCTGGATGGCATGAAACTTTAAGAAAACTACTATAGTCAATTTTCTTTACCTGTTCCTCCAATATTCCAGAAACAGCAATTATTCCACCAGGTTTTGCATAACCAACTATGTCCTCAACCAGCTCCAGTAAGGGATTTAGAAGGATATTTGCTGCAACTACATCATAAGTTCCTCTTGAGAACTTCAAGTCAAGGTTATTGGTTGAGTGGTGGTCTTCTGATTTGTTGATGGCACTCGGAAAGCATGAAGGCTGAGCATTTGTTGGTACCAAATAAACAGGCATTTGGTTCGAATGTAAACCATTCAGCAACAAGTTTTCTGAAGCAGAGTGTAAGATTGGTGTATAATGCGTGGATGTATTGCTTGAGCCCCTTGGGCTGATTATATAGGAGTGCATGGCTTGGAGGGCAAGTAGCCTCTCCTAGAGATAAGGAAGGTTATCCCAGGATTACAATCAATCCTAAACTAACCATATCCGGAGTTGCCTAATATACTCCTGACAGCGATGGGAGAGGTAGGTCCTGCTGTTGTTGGTTGACCACGACGGCGCAGCGGATCAGAAGGATCAGTCGCGCATCCTACGAGGGCGCTGCCCCCGGTGGAGATCGATCTCCCCGGGGGCGGCGAGAGGCAGCGGAAGCTGGAAGCCTAGGGTTAGAACCTAGACTCGTGATACCATGTAAGATTGGTGTATAATGCGTGGATGTATTGCTTGAGCCCCTTGGGCTGATTATATAGGAGTACATGGCTTGGAGGGCAAGTAGCCTCTCCTAGAGATAAGGAAGGTTATCCCAGGATTACAATCAATCCTAAACTAACCATATCCGGAGTTGCCTAATATACTCTAACACAGAGGTTATGGCTTGAGGGTCAATATCTGTCCCAGTTGATTGAGTAGCACCCATCTGCATTCATAAGCCTACAATGAGTATGAAATAGGGTAACACTGCCTTCTTATCATGATACTTGTCAGAGGTAAAAACTAAACACATGGGGAACCTTCAAAGCTGCAATCCCCAATACTCCTGTGCCTGTTCCATAATCCAAGACACGTTCACCGCCTTTAATAACTTCTTGTAGAAATAGAAGGCACAGCTTAGTTATCGGGTGCTCCCCCATCCCAAAAGCCAAACCTGGATCGATGATTATGTTTGTGGCCTCTGGATCCTATCAATGGAAGGATGAGAAGAAACAAAAGGAGAAATTTATCAGCTCAGCGAGATTTTCAGTGTAGGAAAGAAAAATCAAGCAACTTCCTCAAGATCTTTAAAAAAAAAAACTAAAGACAGTATGATGTGAAGATATACAGGGGAGTTCTCCATTTAGGAACAACCCAAAGGCCATCAGCCACTTCAGTGGGCTCGTATGTTTCCTGCAGCAATCACGAGTAATCTTTTCAAGTACTGTATTGTTCAAGTAACAACCGTTTACCCAACTCAGGTTAAACACAATGGATCTCATAAATAGTATGCCTAACCCAGCTTAGAGCTATACTCCTCCTAGTTATAAAAGCCAAAAGTTACTGAAAGAATACAGTCCTCATATGGTAAAACTGATGATCAAATATATTTTTCTTGTTGGCTATATGTAACAGTTAGGAAAGAGGAGCAAGATTGTCCTTCAAAGGTCACGAACAAGAAAAGTATACTGTGTACAACCTCTAGGTCCTAACCTGCACATTTGCCACCCAATCGCACTGCTTCCCAACAGAGGTTTCATACACTGGGCTGTAGTGCAAACCAGCTGAGCTTGCGGCACTTGATACGCTGGTGTCCACGTCTTCCCCATCGGCATATAAGGACGCTATGGAGATCTGCATAATCAGCATTTTGTGCGGGCTCGAATTATCCCAATCGATTGCAGTTAAACATACGAACAGAATAGTAATCATGGGATTTCAAAATGCACAATGCTCACTTCATCGAGATTTTCAGCATCGGCAATGTCATCCACGGTCACGGAGCTAGCACCGAAGCACAAGAGCGCCTCGGAGAGTGCTTCCTGTTTCGCAATGTCATTCAAAAAAAATGCATGAGACACTGAAACTACTCGTGGGAGGTGAAGGACAAGGAATCGAAGTGGCTACGAAGTGCGGGGAGAGCGTGAGGTACTGACCACGTCGTGCCTGCGGCATCGAATGCGGACGGGGAGGTAAGGTGCGAAGAGGTCCGAGCCCGAGGCGGCGGAGCTGGAGGCTGCCTCGTCCCCGACGTCCACCGCGCGGGCGCAGAAGCCCATTCCTCGCCGGGCTCCACCAGCCGGACCGCTCGAGCCGTCGTGGGACGGCGAGGGGTGAGCGTACAACGGGAGGTTGAGGTTACCGCCGCTACTGATGGCGTACGGGACGCGAGGCAATACGGCCCGGGTCGAGGAGAACGTGGAGACGACGCGGCAGAAAGGGGCGCTACCCGCGCGCACCAGCGATGGGAACATCTCAGCGGCGGCGGGCGGGGGGCCGAGGGCGGCGGCGCACACGCGCGCTGGACAGACCTAAATACTGTGTCCCAAGCGAACTATTGTCGGTGTTTCGCCGATTAGTAAATTTCGGAGTCTTCGTCAGATGGTTAGCCCTTCTTCTTTAGTTCTACTCCAAAATCCTAAAAAGTGCTACAGTATCTGTCACATCGAATATTTGCGGCTTATGCATGAAGCATTAAATGTAGACAAAAAAAAAACTAATTGCACAGTTTGGTGGAAAATTACGAGACGAACGTTTTGAGCCTAATTAGTTCATATTTGAACACTAATTGCTAAATAAAAACGAACGTGCTATAGTAGCCTCAAATTCCAAATTCCTGGAACTAAACAAGCGCTTAGTTAAGTGGCTGTTTAGTTCTCAAAATTTTGCAAAATTTTTCAAGATCCTCCGTCACATCGAATCTTTGGACGCATGCATGAATCATTAAATATAAATAAAAAATAAAACTAATTGACGAAATTCACGAGACGAATCTTTTAAGCCTAATTAGACTATGATTGAACACTAATTGCCAAATAACAACGAAAGTGCTACAGTACCATTTCCAAAAAAAAACCGCCAACTAAACAAGGCCTAAGTGTGCACGAGATTTATGTCGGTTCGGGTAGAATGTCTCTACGTCTGGTTCGTTACTGTTGCTCGTGTTACTAGCACTGAAAATTCGTACTAGGGGTTACAAACGGTCGAAAGAGGGACATATCCTAAGTCTCTGGTGAGAGAAGTGAACGGGTGCCGAGAGCTCGGTCGCTTTTCGGCTGTGTGCTTGTTTGTTCTTATTTGTTCAGAGTTCGATGGGTTCGAGTCTCTTTCATGGGACGTCATACTTTCTCTTTTATAGGTCAAGGGAAAGCACGGATTACACTGGAGGAAAAAGAGGAGAATGAGAAGGAGAAGAAGTCCTCCAGGATCACTGGGTCCTTCTTTTCCTTCACGCGGGTCCCGCCGACCCTATAGACGTCAACAGGGACAGCTCCACGTCGTGGCCCTGTCCATCACTGGCGCCATGCGCAGGCGTCGTCTCTCGGTCGTGGCGCTCCACTCCGTCCTGGCGGACGTCGTGGTGAACTAACGCGCCTGTCAGTGCTCGTATGAGGGTTAGGCAGAACAGCACCGGTATGCCCGACGCTGTTCCTGATGTGAATCTCTAGGCATAGCCTGTCATAATCCACGGGTTATATTGGGGCGCCCGGTCACCTCCCTAGTGTCAGAGCTTTGACCCAGTCCATTCGCTTGGACCTGGAGTGATTGGCGGCGGTATGGGTCTTCGTCGAGTGAGACGGATCCCTCGGCCTCGGGGTCGGTCGAGGCGGAGTCCTCCCCCCAGAGGCCGGAGCGAGGCGGAGCGTAAACCCAAGGGTCGGACAAGGCGGAGCCCGCCCCTAGAGGCCGGGCGAGGCGAGCCAGCCCCCAGAGGTCGGGCGAGGCGGAGCTCGCCCCCAGAGGTCGGGCAAGGCGGAGCTAACCCGCCCTCAGAGGTCGGGTGAGGCGAGAGCTAACCCGCCCTCAAGGCCGGGCGAGGTAGAGCCCGCAGCCTCGATGTCGGGCGAGACGGAGCCCGCAGCCTCGATGTCGGGCGAGACGGAGCCCGCAGCCTCGATGTCGGGCGAGATGGAGCCCGCCCCCAGAGGTCGGACGAGGTGAAGCCAGCCCTCAGAGGTCAGATGAGGCAGAGCCAGCCCTCAGAGGTCGGGTGAGGCGGAGCCCGCGGCCTCGGTGTCGGGCGAGGCGGAGCCCGCCCTCAGAGGTTGGGCGAGTAGGAGCCCACGGCCTCGGTGTCATGCGAGGCGGAGCTTACGCACTGGGGTCGGTTGGAGCTGTAGTCGCGCTCTTAACTGCTCGGATGAATCAATATTGATGGCTATTAGCTTCTCCTCTTCAGGTACCTTAGTATGTTGGTTCCTGACACCTATAATTTGTAAACTAGAAAAGGATGCGCGCCCTACCAAACAGATTGATTTCGAGTTCCTTTCACCTAATAAAGAACATGGATGTGGATTGTGAAGCATTTTATTCATCCGCAAATCATTTACACAAAAAATAAATCTGAGAGACCGCTAATGTGTAGGACCAATCATCAAATTCATATGCAGTACCCAAGTTTCACCATCACAGATCACAACAAACCAAAGCTATATATCATATTATATATGTAATGGCTGAAAGAAATCAAAGTCTCAGAAAAAACTTAGTCAGCATAACAGAGCCCAAAGCACCATCTGGTAGTTCACCGTTATGCCCTAAATCATCTGCACCGCAGACTCCAGCATCTCCTTCGGAGAGTTCTCTGAGTCAGCATCCTGGGAATCTAACAATTAACAAAATGAATTGGTTATGGTGCTGTTTAATGTCAAATGGGATTGTTATAGCACCAGCTGCAGTACTAATAAGAAATTAGGATGGTAATAATCGTATGAAGGTGTTTACTGTCAAAGTAGTACTATGTCAAAAATTGATATACATTTTATGCAAAATCTATATGATAACTGATGGTAAGGGTGCAATCACGGCAAAATCTGGTGGAATAAACTTTTAACACATACACACATTTTAACTCAAAGAAATCAAATAAACATTTTAAAGGGCGGCCTGGTGCAAGTGGTAGAGTCTTACCGCCTGTAACCAGAAGGTCCCGGGTTCGAGTCGCGGTCTCCTCGCATTGCACAGGCGAGGGTAAGGCTTGCCACTGACACCCTTCTTCAGACCCCGCACAGAGCGGGAGCTCTATGCACTAGGTACGCCCTTTTTCTGTTTGGACTAAGGGGAAAACATTTACGTTGCATATGGTCACCTGAAAAAGATGGATTCATATTTTCCGAAGTCGACCAGCCATGGAAAAAACAATGGAACCACTTAAGTAGATGTGTGTGTTTTCCTTAATAAACTGCATGTAACAATGCTGGAGATACCCAAAAGGTGATTCTAAACAGTTTATTCATATGTTAGTGTAGAGGTTAGATAATCCACCAGACGTGTAAGAGCATATGCCATGGCTCGCTCATGTTTAGCTGCTGACCTGAAAAAGATGGATTCATATTTTCCGAAGCCGACCAGCCATGGAAAAAACAATGGAACCACTTAAGTAGATGTGTGTGTTTTCCTTAATAAACTGCATGTAACAATGCTGGAGATACCCAAAAGGTGATTCTAAACAGTTTATTCATATGTTAGTGTAGAGGTTAGATAATCCACCAGACGTGTAAGAGCATATGCCATGGCTCGCTCATGTTTAGCTGCTGCTTGCTACCTCTTTAAAAGTTGGGACAATTGTCTGTTGGACATCTAAAGTGATGGTCCTTTGCTGACGGACACCCACTTTGGAGCATTTTGCCAGAAGACACTCTGGTTCGGTGAAATTAGGCCACAGAACACCGCGGACCGGTTGCAGCCGGTTGAGGAGAGAGAACAGCGGTGAAATGACATTCTTGACCCTGCCGCTTTCTTCTTCCTCTCTCCCTTTCTCTTTTTTTCCTACGCCACGCCGCCGAGGACGCGGTCCACGAGGATGGCGACCGAGCAGGGCGCGCTCTAGAGCACGCGGACGTTGGCTCCACCCGCACGCGCACACCGCCATCCTCGTGGTGAGATAAACAACTCTTTCTCTCAGTATGTACGAGAGTGCAGGCTCAAAAGATGAGCCGCATGCACCGCAAGCACATGGTTTGACCAGGCACATCCCTATCCTTTCCCCTCTCTCTCTCTGTTTATCTTCTTCAGAAGCGCAGAAGGGAAGGGAGTAGGGAGAGGCACACGTCCACCCAGGTGGGCTCGCGTCTCCAGTGCCAATCACCGACGGTGGGCGACCGGCAGCGGGCGACTGGCGGCCGGCTGCGCGACTGCTCGCGCTCACTTGCACCCACGCCTAGCGGTGGCCTGAGAGGGCCGCGCCCGTGCGCCTCCCACGCGCGCTCGACCGCGCCTATGGCTACGGCGGCGCCTGGCCGGCGGCCGGACGGACCACGCTCATGTCTGGCTTGTGGCCGGCCAGATCTTCTTTCCTGGGGCAACGGCGGTCGGCTGGGCTCGCGCGCACCCACGGCAGGGGCCGGCAGCGGGGCCGGAGGCGCCCGCGCGCGCTCGCGCCCATGGGGTAGACGCGTGCCCGCACTTATGCCCGTGGCGGCTAGGCAGCTCAGCTCTGCGCGCCCGTCGACGACCAGGGTGGCTGCGGCGGCAGCCTGTAAGGCCTGCTCGACCGTGCCTACGACGGCGACCTGTAAGGCTTGCTCGTCCACGTCCACAACAGTCAGGGGCTGCAGTGCGTCCGTATTCTTGGTGGGGCTCGCGGCTCCCACGCAGTCTGCGCGACGGTGGCCGTGTCTGCTGCCAGCGGCGACCCCTGCTGGGGGTGGCCTCGTTCTGTTCGCACGTCTTCAGGACGGCGGCCATCAGACCCATGGTGCGAGGATTCGCTACCATGTGTCAGTGCTCAGCACTTTGGGGCTGGCAAGCTCGTCTCCGACATTTGTACGGCAACGGCGTCAGTGCCGCCTTCGTGTTGTCGGGCATTGCCGAAACCCAACGAGTATGTTATTTGGTACTTTCATGTCAAAGTCTGGTTGCTTCAGGCAACCAGTGATGGCTTTATGCCCTGCTCAACTACCGTGGTGCTTGTATGCAGATCCACAAGTGAGGAGCTTGTTCGGTCGCCATCCTCGTGGACCACGTCTTTGGCGGCGCAGCATAGGAAACCGAAAAAAAGAGAGAAAGGGAGAGAGGAAGAAGAAAGCGGCAGGGGCAAGAATGACATTTCACCGCTGTTCTCTCTCCTCAACCGGCTGCAACCGGCCCGCGGTGTCATGTGGCCTAATTTCACCGAACCAGAATGTCTTCTGGCAAAATGCTCCAAAGTGGATATCCACCAGCAAAGGACCATCACTTTAGATGTCCAACAGACAATTGTCCCTTAAAAGTTATGCTTGATATCTGCCACAACTGATACTATCTCAGTCATCCT